CCCATTGAAACGAATATCTTTAAAGCTAAGTAGGTTCCTTTTAGATCGTGGGCAAAATAAAGCATCATTAATGAAAATTTCTGTGCCCATTGGTAGCATTACATGAGCTCTTCCAGAGCCTGTAATTATGTTACTATCACTTGAAATAGTGGTAATATTACCTTCACATTTTTTTCAATTTCTCAAAGAACTTCCTCTGCTGGAGGATAGTATGTGTAGTACCATTGTTTACAAGACAAAGAATACCATTGTTCTCCTCGAGGTAATTGTTTAGCATCATTGATTACTAACATAAAAAGAATAAGAAATGAAATTATAATATTAAACATGAATATTATTCAAAACTAAGAGAATACATGTGAATAAACATAGACTTATAATATATATATATATATATATATTGCTTAATCTAAATTACCAAAATGATAAATATCAAGAGATGTATTGTCAAGAGATGATTCTTTATTCTCTATTGAGGGCTTGGTTGCAACGTTGGCTTCCCTTTTTCTCTCATCTTGTTCTCTTTTTATAGAGTTCAATCAGGTGCTTTGGGGTGCGACAAGTGCGAGACCAATGGCCTGCAGAACCACATCTATGACAAACATTGGCACCAACCTGGTTAGGTACTTCTGGACCTCTTTTCTTTGTGGGCCATGTTTAGGTCCTTGTGAACCTCTATCTCAGTTCTTATAAGGCTGATTTTTCAAGTTACGCCATTTACCCTTCCAATGTCTGTGGCTCTTGTTATTATGATGTGCGATATGTGCTTTAGGCACAGGTACAAATCCAGTAGGACAAGAATTATGGTTTTGCATCAACAACTGGTCGTGCTTTTCAACTACAAGTAGTGCAGAAATTAACTCTGAATGCTTGGAGTAATTCTTTGCCCTATATTGCTGTTGGAGTACAAGGTTATTGGCATGAAAGGTGGATCATATTTTTTCAAACATTTCAATCTCTGTGATCTGCTGGCCATAGAGTCTTAGTTGTGATACAATTCGGTGAATAGCATAATTATATTCTGCTACGAACTTAAAATCCCGAAAGCGTAAGTTGATCCATTCAAACCTGGCATGAGGAAAGACCACTTCTTGTTGATGATCAAAGCGATCCTTCAGGGATTGCCATAGAAGTGCAGGGTCCTCCTCAGTTAGATACTCAGCCTTTAAATCTTCATGTAAATGGTGGCGAATGAAGATAAGAGCCTTAGCCTTCTGGGCTAGAGTACAATTCGATTCTGGGAGAATAGATTGACTGACATCTAATGATGTTAAGTGTATCTTGACATCAAATGCCCATGTTAGATAATTACTTCCGGTAATATCTAATGTTGCAAACTCTCTTGGTAATGTTTGACATACTTAAAAAGAAATTATAGAGATATTAGATAATGGAGAGGTAAAGGTATGTTACCTTGAGTGATATCCAAGATTCTAACAAGTTCGTTCTGATAATGTTTTTTAAAAGTAAACGGTGATCTTTGGAATAACTCAGAAATCAACTTGAAGTATAATATGAGAGAAAGGAAGAGATAAGAGAGAAGTGGGGAGCAAATGTTAACCCTTTTACTCCCGTCAACAAGTTTACAAAAGTCTCTATTTATAGGCTAGAGGGTACATGAATAATATAGGTACATTGTACATGAATGTATGTGTTCATGTATACTATTAATAAAGGAGGTGATCATGTACATTGAAAGAGGGAATGTATAGAACTATTCATGAAATGGTGAAAAGTGATACATCCACATCATACAATGTATTTATAACAAGGGAAACTTTTTATTTTCAATTTCGATAACAGAATTTCATTCAAACATCTTTCGAATTTTTCCATTCAATTTTTTATCGTGAATCTTGAAAAATCTAATTTTTTCTCGTCCGTGCCAAGGCAAGCCTTTTATCATATACGATAGATTTCTAGGGTGTTTTCCGAATTCAATTTATATAGAATTATCTCATCCTGCTAGAAATAGTAAAATTGCTTATATGTGTGTGTTTGTTCAATAAGTTGTAAAGCCTGCGCAAAAAGCATTTTGAATCTATTTCTCTCTCCTTTTTTGGTATTTGTGTGCTCCTACTACAAAACTATCCAAAATTTCATTTGCCTTTTGGTTCCAACACATCGACAATACTTTCAATTCATTTCTTAAAGTAATCGAAAAAGGCAACTTTGTCATCCATATCTTCTTTTTTTCCATTGTAATAACTACATTCATGCCATTAACGGGCGAATTTCTATCTCAAGATAGTTCTTGCTTTTCTCGATAAAACTTTGGAAGAACATATTATAAGTCTAGTACGAATCCATTCTCTTCCACGTCTGAAATGTAATAATAGCCATTTTATGTAGCAGACAAGTCGAATTACTCCGTGTACAGTACAGGTCTGGTCAAGCACATTATGACTCGCGTGAGATCTTCAAGCACCATCGTCACAAATGAGATGTTGACATTGTTTGATACCAGGCCCAAAATCCGAGTCCAATAGAAAGAAACTAATGGCTCAAACCAGATCAAAACAATACACTTAACTCATGAGAACAATTCAATAGAATCCTTAAATAAGCATGTCAATCATAAAGGTTGCCCACGAAACCGTCGATGGAATGTCCAAAGGACTCGTTCAATTGTGAGTTCTCCAGTGGATGGAGTTTAAATGGAAATTATAACACATGCCAGAGCACCGATCGACTCGAGACATGAAAGGAAGTTTAAGTTTGAATCAAGAGGAATCCATCGACCGAGGGATAAACATGGCTAAAGGATCAGATACTTGCAAAGGAAGTTTACCATGCGTACCGAAACATTCCTTAAAGATAGGGGAGGAATCGAAGTCAGAGGAAGCTAAGCATCATCTAAAACACATTAGACAAATCTCTGAAGACAATTAGAACACTTTGAACAATAATTGTACAATATCAATCAAGAAGTCCATCTGGTTTTTAAGAAGATAATTCGCACCAGACCTTCACTTAGGTTTTGAATTTCAAATGGGACTAGATTATACTTCCTAAGTTCAGCATTTGTCGATCCAAAAAAAAAAAAAGTTCAGTATTTTTCTTTGAGTATAAAAGCTTTTAAGTTGAGTGTTGTGAGCTTTTTGCTTCCCTTTCGTATTTCAAGTTCTCAGTAAAAGTTCTTTCCAATTCCAATTTTTAGTTTTCCAATTTCGCTTGTGCGTTGTCTTAGTCATTCAAATTTGAGATTTCAAGCTATATTAGAATCTATCTACCTTCGATTTGAAGTCTGATTTGATACTTTAATTGGTTATCCATCGATTTCGATCGGGCTTTAACAAGAGGGATGATTGAGTTTCTGACGACTACAATTTGATAAAAACACACGTAACTCAAGCTTATAACCATCATTAAACATATCTTCTTACAGTGTAAAAAAAAAAAGAAGAGGCATAAAAGAAATGCAGGAGGATCAGTAAAGCTTCTATAAATAAGAAGCCAAAAATTCCGGAACTAAGTTCTCTGCACTTTTTTGCCATTTTTCCTTTCTCTTGCATGCCGATTAAGAGATACTTCAACCCAACACCCCAATCCGTAACTGCTTATTACATTGATCATGGTACAAAAATGAGGAAAATTACGCGATATTACCTCGACGATTCTCTGTGACCGTGATACCGTCTCACTTTCAAGTGAGCAACTTTCTGCAACTTTTCTGTGTCCTATATCCCCCAATGTATCAGTCATTTTGGATCCAGTTGCTTTGTGTGGGCTAACTCAAGATATTACGCTTTTCAGGGTCTGTAAATGGAGGCAATTGTGTAGAGCTTACAAAGCAAGACGAACTTCTCATAACTACATGAATAGATGATTATATGTCCCATAGTTACTGTATTTCAAGAAGAGTAGGTGTCTATGGTAGCTTCACGCCTCCATTCATAACATGACCCTAAGCTCCCTCGCTAACTCGATGAGTTGGTCCACAAAGATGTCCATGCTTCAAAAGCAACAATTTAAGGAGAAAAATTGCTGAAAACGGATCCTGGGTTGGGTTGGATATGGGTCGTCAAATTTACATTGTCTATAAACGGATCAATTTGGATCGGACCATTTTCGACCACGACCCAAACTCGACCCAATCCACCTATTTAACAGGCCTACGCACACCGCATGTTCATGTCCGTGGGCATGCATGTATGCTATTTATAACATTTGAGAGGAGTCGATTTATGTTTTGGCTTCAATTGGGCATCTCCACGTTTAAGTGAAACGCTCCCTTTTTGGCCATATTGATGTAGAAATCAAAAATTTGGAAAATTGGATTCTTGAAAATTGATGGAAAGCATTATTGGCATGCACAGGACCCTTGTTTATCCAGTCGCATCGTCTCTGCATCGCCTTATATTTTCTCGAGTACGATTCTTCCGGCAACATGACTTGCGATAAACTACGACGGCTTAAACTTTTAACAGCTCTAGCAGAAAATCAGGAATTTAATCGCTGCTGATTGGTTTGGGATTGTCTATTGTTGTTTAAATTGGAGAGATTGATTCCCTTTTGCATGAGATATTCTCTGTTTGGAGTTAGTGCAGGACTTGATCTCTTCATATAAAAGCCGAAGAGCTAGTTTCGGTGAAAGATATTTCGTCACGGAAGCAATTCCGGTGAAACAGAACTCATACTAAATTGTTCGAACTTACTTTCGAGAGGATCGACCGCATGTCTCCAGACTCCCTTGTAGCAATAGACGCTTCCCTCATTTGTTGCTAATTAGTAAGATGAATCCATGAAACTCGTGGCTCGTTAAGAGGATCTCGTGAGCCAACAGTGACCCAACTATTCTCTGGCCAGAGTTTCCAAACCAACAAAGGAACGAACTCAATAAATGTCGGGTGCAACTTCACATTCTAACACCCAACAGCAATCATGCCAAGGCCTCTCTTTTCTTACCTTTTTTGGCTTTCTATCATCCAATACTCGCCTGCTTTGCGGGTGTTCGTTGGCAGGAACCAGTTCTACATTCACTGCTGCTAAGCTTTTAGTTGACTTGCTTCGGCATGAATGTCATAAAGGAGGACTTGGTGGATTCACAAGTTGATGAGCATGTTATATATACGCCTCGGACTCTGCTAAGAGAGGGACAAGTAACGGTGAGAGCAGAATTTTGTTCGGTGCCTCGTCTCATTCTGGTTCTATCTCGAGACCAACTTCTAGATAAGACCATCACAATGTCCTGGTTTCTGATAGCATTCTTGTTCCTAAGTTTTGCATTTAGTTTCTCCGAAGCCACCCAAGAGAAGAAGCTTCCTTCCACCGTAGTCGTCGGGACGGTCTACTGTGACACATGCTTCATGCAACGGTTCTCGAAGGCCAGCCACTTCATTCCAGGTCCAATCTGAACTTTGGCTACGACAAATTAGCCTTGGTTTGTTATTTTTTTGAACTTTACGGTTCATACATAATGGCTCATAGCGTGTGGTAGTTGTTCTGTGCAGGTGCATCTGTGGTGGTCGAATGCAAAGATGGAGGCGCCAAACCGAGCTTTCGCAAAGAAGCGAAGACTGACGAGCATGGGGAGTTCAAAGTCTACTTGCCCTTCTCCGTCGGTAAGCACGTGAGAAGAATCAAGGGTTGCTCTGTGAAGTTGAGCAGCAGCGAGCCAAACTGCGCCGTGGCCTCCGCAGTAACCTCTTCGTCCCTCGATTTCAAAATGAGAAAGGATGGAGACCAAGTGTTCTCTGCCGGGTTCTTCACGTTCAAGCCCCGGCAACGACCCAACCTGTGCAGCAAAAAGCCGAGCTCAGAGTTCGGCTCCGAGAAAATCTTGAAGTTTCCTGCTCCTAGTTATGATCCGACGTTCCCCCCTCCACTTAAAGACCCCGCCACACCAGACCTCCCAACGGTGATTAATCCGGTGCCTTCGATCCCGCTGCTTCCCCAGCTTCCGCCGCTGCTGCAACTCCCTCCTCTCCCTCCTCTTCTTGGGCTCCCACAACTGCCCCCAATTTTCGGGACATCTTCCAACACCAAACCTGGCGACGACAGTTCCAAACCCGTCCCGTCACTTGATCAAGAGAAGAGTCCACCGGAGCTCTTTGTTGCTTCTAATTTGACAGCGAACCCATTCCAGCCGGACCCCGTCCTGCCACCAAACCCACTCCAGCCACCATCAGAGCATGTGATCCCTCTTCCGCAAATTCCAGGACTACTAACCCCTGCGCCATCCTTCCCGGCTCCCCTTCCTCAAATTCCAATCCAGCCTTCGCCCGGCTTACCAGGATTCCCGCCTGCTTCGTCTCTTCCGACAAAGACTACTCCTTGATGGAGCACGTAGCACATAAGCATATGCCCATGTGAAGCTCTCTCTTGGAGAGATTATATGCACCATGTTGTGTCTCGTTCGTTTTCTTTCATGGAGGATTCGGATCGGATGCTGTAGGGGAAAATTTGTTGGTTGCTTTTTCCTTGTCAATAACATGGCTATGGAGGGACCTTAAGAATATATTGTAACCTGCGAATAATAATGCTGAAAAATAGCTTCCATTGGTACAAGCTGCAGCATCCTGCGAGTGAATGTCCGTCCTTGTTTTATTGCAACAATAATGTGCATTTAGCAGAATAATAATGTTATTCCGTTTGCCGAAGACGGAACTAACTTTCATGCATGGTAATTTCCTAATATGATTAGTAAATTCTAAAATTTTGTTAGTAAACTCATGTAACTAAAAACTTGTTGCTCAAGCACGCGAGTGGTTTTTTTTTGTCTATCTTACTATCTCTCAACTCACTTTCAGACTTTTGTCCTGCTTCTTTGCAGAGCGTAAAAGTCGAAACACATATTTGAAACCAAACGTCTCCACCCACCCACCTGAGAAGGTAGGAAATCGAACTCCTCCCCTCCCCTTTCCCAAATGGAAAGAGTGGCCACTGGTGTAGGGGCAAACCCAAGTGGTTGCACGTGGGTGGCTGTTTACTGACAATATTAGCAATTTACCAACATTAAATACAGTCGTAAGTTATTCACTTGTTTTAGAAATTTACCACCCAAAATGAAAATTTAGTGCCGAAATTAGCAACTTACCAGTGAAAATGATAACTAATCAACACTAGTCCCTTTATGAGTTAGTAAATTATCAACAAACTAAGGAATTTGCCATTGGAAATAAGATCGAAATTAGCAACTTACCATTGAATTAAGTTACATACCTACGTAGACCTGCTTTTAGTATAGTAAGTTACCGACAATTCGAAGAATTTACCGACGTCGAGTTCAATATTAAGTTGTAAAGCTTCACCTTTGAAGTTAAAAGTACCAGTGAAATTAGTATCTTACCAATGTATGCTTGCTTCTAGGGTAGCAAGTGCCAGAAGAAGTATGAAATGTATCAACATCAAATTTTCAACAGCAAGTTTATCATTCTATATAGGAGGCTGCCATTGTAAATAAGATGGTGAAACTAACAACTTACTAGTGAAATTGCGAACATATTAAGGAATTTACCAATCACAAGTGAAATAGTATGTTATCAACTTCATTAGAATAGTATCATTTAGCAAAGGGACCCACTCGTAACAATTGTAAGCACTTGGTCATCTACTATTGGATGTGTTGAGGTAACATCGTTATTTTATTGGTAACTTATTAAGCATTTGATGGGTCCGCTAGTAAATTTTAGAATACTTGATAATCTACTACTCGTACTGGATTGGAGTACGATAAAATCATTATTTCAGTGTAACTTATTAATTGGTTAACCGGTCCACTTGAAAAATTTTAAAGCAGTTAGTAATCTTCTATTAGGTGTTAGGGTGGTATAATTACGAGAAATGATTGGATGATAGTTTTTAATCTACTGTGAGAATAACAGCATGTTCTGGACCACAAAAAAAATAATTATAAATTGTTGTGAGGTTCACTCCTTCAAAAGTTTGTGGGTCACAACATGTTGCAATTCTCATATTGGTCTAAAGATTATTATGCTAACAAAGCCCTATAATTATTGTTTCTCACTAGGCCCACTTGTAAAATATAAAACACTTGATAACCTACTAATGGATACTGGATCTGAAGATGGAAAATCTTAATTTCATTGTTTAGTTACTAGTCAATTGACTGGACTCGTCCGTAAAATTTTAAAGTATTTGGTAATTATCCCCGTATTTGGTAATTTATCACTTGATGGGGTTGATAAAATCATTATCACTTGTAAGATCTTAAAGCATTTAGTATTCTACTACTGGATACTGGTATTCGTGCTAAATCGTTATTTCATTGGAGCTCAATTATAAAATCTTAAAGTACTTTGTAATCTATTGCTAGACATGGCCTGATGAAATCAGTATTTTAATTAGAGGTGAGCATAGGTCCCGAGTAGAATCGGGAACCAAACCAAACAAACCCTAAAAAATTGATTTGGTTCCCGGTACCTAGACTCCTTAGTCCAGTTCCTAGTTCTAATTGGAACCGATACTATGTTGTATGGTTCCCAAGTAGGAACCAAATTGAGCCGGACAACCGCTGAACCAAGGTAACCCTAAAACTAGTGTTTTTGGATCTTTCCACCAATTTTCATATTAAAAGTATCAAACTTTTAGAATTTGGAACATCATTTTATTATGAATTAATACCACGAAAAACCCAAAATGATATATTTCTTATTCAAGAAATCTTTTACTTGAATTACATTCCTTACTCCAAATTAGGGATGTAATCTGGTCGATACAGTGCCAAGCTTGAGCTTAACTTGACTTGTATGCTTGATGCTCCAAACTCGACCCGCGCTCCATCGAGAATGTAGTCTCAAGCTCAAGTCGCATAGAAATTCCAAATACTGGACTTCGAGCCGATTAAAAGAGTTGTACAAAAACTCGAGCTCAAGCTTAATAAGCTTGACCACTAGCACCGCATTATATCTACATGGGTACAACATGTAATTTTAAGGACTTCTCTGGCTTTCTATAATCATGAAAGATTTTTCAAAAAAAAAGTTTGATATGGCTCGTTGATGCTTGCAAGCTTGCCGAGTTTAGTATTGGCGAAATCGAGCTCGACTCAACAAGATTCTCAAGTAACTCAAGTTCGAACTCGACTCAAAATTAGACGAAACAACCTCGAGTAATTATCGAGCTGAGTCCGAGATACTGGCGAGTAGCTTGACTCTGTTATGGGCTCCAGACTTTGCAATTTCGGAACGACTGCCCAAGGCATTCTGAGTCGATCTCAAGTAATTATTGAGTTGGGCACAAGGTACTGACGAGTAGCTTGACTCACTTATGCCCCCACTCTAAACTTTGCGATTTCAGAACAAGTGTCCGAGAAATTCATCAATAAAATCCATTTTCTTTGACTATGGTAAACTTCCCAATCACATCATGGTGGGACGGACAACATTGAAATTGGATGATAAACCAACTTGAATACACCTATACCATATACCTACCTATGGTTATGTGAGAATTTTCTCGGCTGACGACGGTCCTACGTCAATCTCATAAATATCCCTGAGACATGATACACCCGAAGACGGCGGCAGCAGCTACGAAAGGGAAACCTCTGTCTCATAACACAGCTGTGCTAGGAAGAGCAATAGCCATAGAATGAAATTCAGGTAAGAGTGCAGAGAAAGGATAGTTGTAACAAGAATAGAGGTCAGAGCAGATGAATGAAACTGTAACCATCAAAATGAAGTAGAAACAATCCAAGTCTGATTTAGCCATACACTAAGCTTGATCCATGCTCGACAAATTTTGATACTATATTTAGACAATTGAAGACTAACACTAGAACAAATACAAATACACTGTAATATGCTACAAACAAGCGGATTAAATACTTGACACGCCGCTTGTTCCAGGATCCTAACACAGTGACTATTATGTACATCATTCTGGGAGACTGCTCAGGGCAATAAATAACACGTCATGTAAACACAAAAAGAAGAGTTTGCTGTTTCTCTCCCCCAAAAAAAGAATGGTGACCGACACAACACTGAACACCAGCTTAGCTTTTCTTACCTTTTGTCATTCTCCAAGTCATTTTCTTTTTCTTCCACCTCAAGACGGCCATCCGCTCGCTTTTCCTTCTTCGGTATTTCACCCTATTCCTCAACCAGCCGATGTAATCCTTCCCTTTCTTGAGCTCAATGAAATCTACTAGATCACCATAATCACATGACTTCTTTGAGCCTTCAAGGAGACACTTGAGAAAGATTTCCCCATTGCAGGTTTCTTCTGTACTCTCTTCCACACAAAAAGACTCTGCATGATTCGCTCCCAAGGCATTATTAGAAGTATCGCCCTGCACTTCTTGGATGTTACTGCTTAAGCAACTGGTAGGAACCATCCTGTATGCACAATAAGGGGGAATAAAAAACTGAAGATAGCAAGATCAAAAGAACAATATTGCATGCGTTTCATTTCTAAAACCTTGCTTGCACATTTCAGATGTCTCTGTAAACTATACAGCAGCATAAAACGCTGTCCCCGAAAAGAGATGATCACAAGACCTTACTCTTCGAATTGGAGGATAGAAAAAACATGCCAAACAAGAATAATGAGTTTTGTTTGGTAATTGAACCAACGCAACTAAACGACGCTTGGCAACTTTGGCAGGATCAAAGAAAGATGTAGAAGCTACCCTAACTAATATATGAAGGTGTAATTTATCATAGAAGGCTACATGTAAATAAGAAAACGAGAATGCTATGAGAAGAAGGTAAACATTTCATCTTCTTATTTGCCTTCAATATTTTGGAGACCCTACTTCAGTCTGTTCATGTAGCCACTGGTGACCAACCAAAGAACAGAGTTTCATACTGACAGGTTAGAAAAGACATGGCTAGCCGAGAACCAAAGATCAGATCACAATCGTATCAGACTGATAGTATACTCTTCTGGGTACACAGGAATAATAATGTGTAAGCAAGCAAAATCCCACTGGAATCAAATTAAGCAGAGTTAACCTGGACATAACTACCAATGAGAAAGGAATCACAATCACAAGTGTGGGTGTGAATGTTCGCTTCATTTCGAAACATTCAAAAGTGAAACCCCAACCAGATACATACCTTAAAGACTCAAGCAAACTGGTTCTATCGGTTCGGACCAGGGGTTTCACCCTTCTTTTATCTCCCTTCTGCGTGAGAGAGAGAGAGAGAGAGAGAGATGCAGAAGGCACTAAGTACCACCTTTAAGAACTGGTTCTATCGGTTTGGTGGCTTTTGAGGAAAATGATAGAGGAAAGGTTATCACAATTGGGAAATACAAAACCAGAGATTTTGCCATACATGGTCAGACCGTGCCCTCATGGTCCACAGTTTTTAGACTAATGGCCTTAACCAAACCCGATAAACAAAAAATTTCCACCAAAAAGCAAAATGAGTTTCATCAAAACCAAGATTTCAGTTAGGTTGGACCAGTTCGGTTTGGTTTTTGGGGCTCACCAGGTATTTTGTACATCCCCAATCATAAGTTCAAAAGAATTACCCACTGAGAATATTTCCGACTGAAACACCAGTTTATCAGCAATCCAACAAAGCTTCTACAGCATAAATTAAACTAATAAGCAATTATTGTTCTGCATGATAAACAAAAACAACTCTAACCTCAGACACTGTCTCTGAATTTTCTGAAATGTGGACGCAACTTTTTGAGTAGAATTGTCAACTGCAGGGATCTGTCAATTTTAGACACATGAAGATCAAAAAATTAACAAAGGCATGCATAAGACCACAAGGATCAAACCAAAACTTACCTCTTCTTTAGAGAAAAATCCATGATACGAAGATTCTCCTTCTAGAGCCAGTAACGACCTTACCGCAACTAAATCCCCTTCTTCCAAAATAATCAGATTCAAAAGCACCATGATCATAGACAAGCAAGCCTTAACTAAAAAGTCAAACCTTGTGTCGAAGCATAATGATAGCAGTCCCAGAAAATGAAAAAGTATCCCTGTACACTCTTCATGCCTCAAATTGTGCACTTTCATCCTCTCGAATAAGAAACATTGAACTGGTAAATGAACACCAAATTGTTGAAAGCAGCGAACCATCTCAAGCAAGAAATTGTGCTGCCTCTGGAAAGAAACATCCTGTGAGGTGTGCAGACAACTTGTGTACCCATTATTCCTGAAGAGCCTTATTACTTGGAACATGGAATTGCTCATCAAATTCAGAATGGATGAAAGGAGATAGACGTCCTGAAAACTCACTCCCCCGTTTTTGTGAGGGACGCTATGACTAGGGTCATGATTATATGCTTTTAAAATCACGCACTCTAAGACTGATAAGATCTCATCTATGTCCGAGCAATTCACAACATTGCATATTTGCTTGACATGTGCTATAGATGCAGATAACATGTCTGTTTTGCTTTCCAAAATCATGTTCTGCCTGTAAGAGTTCCATGAATTTTCTAATTTTGCAACAAAAAGATCGAGTTTCTCCTTAGTCACTTGCTTAATACAAGATTGAAAGGATGGCTGACTTCTCCCAAGCATACATGAAGGGAATGGTTCTTCAACACTCGGAGCATAACGACCTACACGAAAGTTACACATATGCATCTTGTACAAATTGACAGACCTTTCAAATGCTTTCAGATAGAGGTCCATCTCTGTAAGATCTGGCCCTGTTCTTAAAGAGAACATGCGAGTATCCATAACTTCAGAAACTAGCAGAACTATATGTGCCTGAAGCATCTTTGGCACAAAAGACGCAATAGGGTTCACAAGCAATGCCAAGGCCGCAGTGAAACTAAGTTCAGGAATTTCGTGTTCCTTCCAATGGTGCCCATCTATTCTGTTCAAAATAGATTCAATTGCTCCCTCGTTAGAATCCAGCAGCATAAGATGAGCTGCCATCAGTTCTAGCACGACTCCAACATTATGATGATTACCGTTTCGCATAAATAGATTTTCATCAGGGCAGAAAGCAGAATCGACAGAAACAAAGAGACCCCTCAGCGATTCTTCTAACAGGAGTTCATCTGCAAAAACCTGAAGATAAGACAATGCTCAACAGGATTCACAATTATAGTCAAAAAGGAATTAACAGGAACAGGAAACACCTTCTCTATTTTTCTATTTTCCTCCATACCCTGGAAGTTAATTTATAAGCACCAAGTGAGATCTCTAACATGGTATCATAGCTCAATTCTTCATGTCCTATATGATATTTCGTTTGGCATGTGGTTCTTGTTTATGTTAGTCCCTTATTAAAGTATCCCACATCACTTGTCTATGGAGTTTTGAGGGGCCTTATATTCATGTAGTCTCCCACCACTAATAACTTAAACTTTTGGATAGAACTTTTTAAGATAATGGCAGAGCCAAAATCTGCCCAGTTAATGTCTTGTGTGAGGCTCCCCGTTAGTCAATTACATGTGCCGTTCTCAGTCCAGTTTGCACTTGAGAGGGGATGTTAACAAAATAATCCTCCATGTCGTATATGACTTGCCATGCAGATTGATTCTTAAATTAGCCCTCCTAAAGAATGATCTTACTGAAAATAAGCTAGATCGACTCTAACATCCACCTCAGTTGATTATCCTATGAAGAATTTATCCAATACATGCAAAGTAGCTAGAAGAAAGAAGAAAAAGGATTTGATATCCCATTCTGGATCCTCATCATCCCCGATGAACTCCACTTCCCAACATCCTGAAGGACCTATTCTTACTTTTAATCATCCACCATTAATTCCTTTTCTTTAGGCCCTTGTTTTTGCGACTCGTCTCAAGTAAAACAAAGTTTTAGAATAACCACACTTCATACAAACTGTTAATCAAAACCATCTGAAGGACTTTTAAAAGCTGAAGGAACGAGATCTTGTGCCACTCCTCCAAATTTCAACCCTCGCCTCTAAAACTTTAATTATGATTCATACATGTTGATCTATTTGCATAGATTATCTCGTGTTTCAGCTTGTATTATGGCATTTTCCCAACAAGATTAGTACAATAACAACGTCCAATTGAGAATGTGCCTGGTGTAAGGTTAAGAGGTCATGCGACATAAAGACATTGTTAGCAATATGGGGGAAGTCCTTAGGCCTTCTTAGGTTCTAGATCTGGTGACAAGTCATCCCATTCAACAAGGTTGTACCAGACATGATTGTTTCAATCTCAACTCTGATAGAGACCTGTCAATAAGCATTTGAATTTCTTGATTTTGATGAATTATGGTTTTCAAATATAGTACAGGACAGCATCAGAACTTACTTCACCCATCAACAGGTAAATATGCATATTGCACTAATAATAAGAACTTCTTGAACCCGAAAAGTGGAAATTCACATAGAGTCTATTTTAGGATCTCATGGAGCAGTTGCATTAAAAGCTAAAGACAAGAACGAATTTAAACTGGAGAACACAACTGATATTTTCACAATAACATAACATGGTATGTAAAATTTATCGAAAGTACCTCTAGAAGCGCACTTATGAGTGATCTGCGTGGATCTGAAGGTTGAAGAAAATGTAATGATGCAACAAGGTCCTCTGCAACCGAAGTAGTGTAACCATTTTCAGAGTAATTGCATTCCCGATGGAACCTCTTAAAGGAAATAGAAGTGTCCTCATCATTTCCACTTGAAGTAAAAGAAATTAACTTGCTGAGCATTGAAAGGAGAACCCGTGCTTTCTCAAGGATCAGATTTTGGTCGAAGCTGAGCAGAGTTAATACTGACAAACAGCACCTTAACAGCAAGGTTGGCTCTTCCACGTTATTCCACAACTTGGAGGATGATAGTGTCCTTGCATGCTTCTGACCGGTGGAAATTTCTTGCAAAGCAGAGAATAGTTGTTGAGACCTTTCACAAAGTTCCTCGTATAGGATTTCGGACAGCTTACATATATCCTGCTGAGGTAAAACATTGACAAGGCAAGAGCTGTCCGGCGTTCTCAAGGAGAAGCACATCAACAGTGCACGCAATCGTTTCAAGAGTGGTGGCTTCGGACACTGCCATTACAAACGACTGCAATTAACAAAAGAACTAGCCACACCAAACATTCTCATTCATCGATCATCACATCCTAAAGAGATGTCAGTACACACCCATATGCACCTACTTGGGTAAAATCAAACTACCATTTCAAACGAGTTCTTGTTTCTCCACATGGTAATTGTTAGCAATGCCATTCACTTCAGTAAGAACTTCTAGGAAAACCTATGTTACATTCCGCTCCTTACATTGGCCAACTCGTAACTAGAAAAACCAAAGTTCACACGGCTTCGACGACGAATAAACTCAGCGGACAACAAGGGCCTCAATCTTTAAACCCCACCAATCTTTCTTCGCCTCAAAGAGAATCAGCTCGAGAAAAATTTTGGAAATTCAGGCGTTTCGAGTTCTTGACAAGCAGCTGAGATGCATTCACATGACGTGAAACAAACAAAAGGCCATTCTTTACCGACGAATCGGCCGAGGCACAAGGAAATGGCGCGCGGCGCGGTCGACATCCTCTCATTCTTCGAAGAGGAAAAACACCATCAACAGAAGAAAGAACAAAAATGAAACGAACGAACGAAATCAGGACACCGAAGCAGCAAGAGAGGGGCCAGGGCGGCGGCGGCAACGGCGGCGGCGACGACACCGCACCGCACCGCCGTCTCGGGATATCAAATCGAAGCGCACGCGAGGCGGAATTCAAGCACGCGAGGAAGGGAGGGAGGGAGGGAGGAGATGCGTACCAGAGGAGATTGGAGAGCGGAGATTAGGGCTTGGAGGAGGAGACGGGGAGGCGGAGGAGGAGGAGATTGAGGGCTCGCGCTTGGGCGCGGCGCGCGGGAAGAGACCTTCTTCCTTTGGCGACTCATCATCATCTGCCATCACCGAAATGGAACTGAACGACGGAGGGAGCCGCGCGGGCCTTCATATATATTCCTCTCTGTTTTCCTTGATTTAGCGCGAATTTTCATCTTAGATATTTTCCGGATCCCGGCGAGGCCGCCCTCGAAAGCCACGGGCAAGGTGGGGGAGGGGTCGCCTCACTCGCCGCCGAGGAGGGCCTGGGCGATAGAGGTGATCGGTTCCTGGTCCGGTCCGGTTCTAAGGTGAAACCGGGAACCAGACCGAGAGAACCGGTTCCCAATTTTGGGAACCGCGGACCGGACCGATTGGTTCTATGACCGGGAGCCGGATTGGACCGCCGGTCCGGTCCGACTCCAGTCCGGTCCAATAGACCCGGTCACTTAGAGTTTAGTTTTTTTTTTTGGTTAAACACTTAAGGTTTGGTTCACATTTTACTAATTTTTGTCAATGAATTTATGTCAATGAAGTTCACTTAGGGTTTAATTCACATTTTACTATTTTTTATCAATGAATTTATGATAATGAAGTTCACTTAGAGTTTAGTTCACATTTTATTAATTTTTTAAAGAAAAAAATAACAAAAATATATATTAAATAGTCGGTCCGGTCCGGTCCGGTTCCCCCTTGGAACCGGGAACCGGACCGATAGTCCCGAGAACCGGACCAAACCCGTCGGTCCGGTCCGGTCCGGTCCCGGTTTGGGCGGTCCAAGTTGCTCACCCCTACTGGGCGAGGCGACCCTCGCCGGAAAGGGGAAAAAAAACGACAATTGAGAAAAAAAGAAAAGAAAAGAAAAGAAATAAAAAAAATTAATTTAAAATTAAATTATTTTTGGACGAAAATGCTCCTGATCGGTTGGAATATTTAGAGCGCGAATGATAACCCTTCTGTTCCAGAAACAATTTCTGGAACAAAAATAGATTTTTCTATTTCTATTCTCAGGACGAGTTTTTGTGGAAAGAAACCCGTTTGATAACAACCAAAAAATTTTATTTATGGAACATAAACCCGTTTGATAACAGCATAAAATTTCTATTTCCCGGAACAGAAATCCATTTTTTTTAACAACACAAAGTTATATTTCCAAACTTTATAATAGAACAAATTTGATGCAAACCCCTTGTATGTTCAAAATTATCGCCTGATTTTTTTCTAATTAATCACATAAATTTTGTTGAACTAATTTTCCGATTTGAATTTTACGTCTTTTCGGAGAAGAGCTTCTCAAAGCTTCAGTAAGATTAATGCAAAGGGCCAAGCACCGGAACGGGTCTTCAGCATTCAACCACCATAGCTCTCAATATTTGTGAGTATACATTGTTCCTCATAATATCCCAAATGCTTATGGAGAAAAGTAAACAAAGCACATCACATTAAACCACCATAGCTCTCAATATTTGTGAGTATACATTGTTCCTCATAATATCCCAAATGCTTATGGAGAAAAGTAAACAAAGCACATCACATTACAAGAGCCAACATAGGAAATCCTCAAATACAAAATAATGAAAATACATTACAAAAGTCGGAAACACATTTTCATGGAATCTCTCTGCCATATTATTATCACTTGCCAATTGATTGGCAATTCTTTTCTTAAGTATGTTGATCTCAATACCCTCTTCGATCGATGTATCGTCTATAACCTCATCTTGTGCACTTCCAAACGGGTACTCCGTATCACCATATAGGGAAAAGTTCTTATTCATCTTGTCTTGATCACGGATGTAATTATGGATAGCACAACATGCAATCACAATACATGATTAATCATGCCTTATATCTAAATTTCCAAAATGGAAATGAAGATGCATTGTTCCTATCCATGCAAAATGATCAGGCCTCTTGCATCCATGTTCCTCGGCAGATTCCAAAAGAAAAGTTAGCCAAGCCTCTCCCTAAATCTTGAATAACAAATTATGAAAAACTCCACCAAAATAGCAAGCCTCTGTAGTCTTCAAATTCTGAATTCGTCAGGAAAAGAGATGGTATTGTAACCATCAAATTCAGCAAAGAAAAAGAAGAAACTCCTTGCATCTTTGCTACTATTTTTATGATAGAACCTTGTGTTCCTAATCCAGTTCCTAAAGAACCAAACCCAAAAAAGTTGGTTCAATACTACCCCTATGGTTATTGTTTCTGGGATCCTTTTTGCCAGTGTTCTTCATGTACAAATTCCCCAAATGAAGTAAATCCAGCTACCAGGCCAAGCCAAAAAACCAAGAACGTCAAGAACAGCTTCTATCGATGATATTCAGATGGAAACTCAACCATTAATACCCTTGGAGAAAATAGCGGATACTTGTTTATGGTTTCATATGGTTCGTCATCATCTCCATCACTTCCGTCAACTCCATCACCTCCATCATCTCCAGTTTTACTCACATATAAAAAATCTGTTGTTTCCCTTTTTTACAAATTAATCTATAAATGGGTAAAGAAAAATTCTTGTCCACTTAAAATCCCCGTCCTTCCTGAAAACTCAAGTACCAGGCAACTTCCATCTATTTCCATGTTCAATGAAATTGATTTCTCTCCTTTAAATCATATTGAAAGTTCTCAACTTTCTTTTCTTGCTACTAAGGAATTTACTGATCCACAGCGAAGATATCTTCATGCTCCAAAAATTCCTTCTCCCACTGATATAGATGAACGTGGAAGACCAAAAAGAACACATATTGCTGAGGCTGTTCTAAATTGGCAATCGGAAACTCTTCTGGCACAAAATCAAACTTTCAATAATATTGACTCCAATTGTTGATGTGCAACAAGAAATCCGAAGATATGACGAGTCTATCAAAAAGATGCTTGTGCATTTCCAGAAAAGGCTTCATGCTCTGGAATTAGGACAACATTTTGGATATCATTATCTTGAAAGTTCGAAAAATGAAATAGAGAAACTCAAAAGGCAAATCAGTCTCCTTGAAGAAGGAAAGTTTAAGCTTACTAATTTTTTCTCTATTCCAAGAATAGGATACTCTCCTCCACCACCCTAAAACTCTCTAGTTTTTGCTGCAACTGCTCTTGCAGCCGAAACTTCTTCCCAACGAGACAGAAGTGATATAATAGAAATGCGAAATTGCATTCGAGAAATGGAAAAGCTCCGAAAGGAAAGAATGAAGGAAAAAGCAAAATCTATTGATGAGTCCTCTGTAGAACCTGAAAAGAATTCTGACCAGCAGATGATAATCTCAAACCCCATAAAATCTTTTCTGAGCGATTTAAGCAAAGATCAACAAAAGAATCAGAAGCTGATTCAGAACATCTACAAAAGTGCACTTCTCCAAAAATAGCAAAAGTATCAAATTTGCTAAATTCAGACTTGGAATTTGACTCTTCATCCTCTTCCTCTACTTTTCCAACTCCTTCCATTGAATCTTTCCATATACCATCAACTACTCCTCCAATTTTCATGGCTGATTCACCAGAAAAAGACATGGAACCAAATTCATCTGAACCAGAGGTTATTCAAATTAATAACCCATCTCAGATTTCTGTTTTCCAATCCAAACAGTTTTTCACTTTTGATGATACTCCTTATTCCAAATGGCTAGAAAAATTGGATGAATTCCATGCTTGGTTGAAGACCAGAGCTCTTGTTGTTGAAAGCAAATATGATGTTCTTTTAGAATTGCCATAAGGTTTACTGGAAGCCTTAAACATTGGTGGCAAGCAACTTCTGAGACAGATCAAATAACTTTTCTTTTTCTGCAAGACTTTTTTCAAGCCATTGGAATCATTTACTTATATTTCATAGGAAAACCCGCTGATCTTTTTGAACTCAAAAGAAGAGAATACTTTGAAAGAAAATATTGTTCTCTTAAAAAAAAAACCACCGAGATCGCCATTACAGAGAAATTATTAAACTCTTTTATGGGCTAGAAGCTTATTCGAATTTAAAACAAGTTTTCTTAGCTTCCATTCCTAAAGAACTCTCCCAACAAGTTAAGAGATCTTTTCTCAACAAGCAAAGAAGAATTGTTGATATCCCCATTGGAGAGCTATAACAAGAAATCCATCTTTGTCTTGATGAACTTTGCCTCCAAAGATAGATGATGAAAAATTACATCAGAGACAATCGTGAACTTGATGGTGTTTGCTCCAAACAATATTTGAAGATCAAATATTCAAAGAAAGATTGTAATGGTTCTTGCGGAGAATATTCAAGAAAACAAGCACTTCAAGAAGTATCGAGTGAAAAGATCTAAGCACTTCAGAAGGAAGAAGAAATGGCGATTCCTGTGGAAACGAAGAAATTTCACAAGACGCAAGAAACCAAACCATTGCTTCATTAACAACAAGAAGGGCCACTTTGCCAAAAATTGTCCTCGGGCAAAAAAAGGTCAGAATCATCTTATTCATAATATCGAACTAGAGACAGGAATCTCTCTTGACAATGATGATATCGAATCCCTATTCTCTGTAGATGAAAATCCCACTGACCAAACACTTTGTGTTATTCCTTATTATTTCACCCCCAGTGAAACAGACTCTGACTCAGAACATGAAAAACTTTTCCATCTATCTTCACAGAATTAAAATCTGGACCCCAAGTATACATTCCAGTCAACTTCATTGTCCCCATTTTCCAGTAAAAATCTATCTCTCAAAGTTTGCCAAACCAATTTCAGTCATTGCCCTTATAGATACTGGTGCTAGTGCTTCAATTTTAGATACGAAAGTTCTTCCTGAAGAATACTGGACTTCCTGTGTTCGGTATTTCAACTCTGCTTCAAGAGATACTTTTTCTACAAATGTTCGCACCACACCTATGTCTATTCAGTTTTTCCCTCAGTGCTCCATTACCACTAGAATTCTTGGATCTTTCTTCCCAATAAAGATTTGATTATTGGGCAGGATATTATGACCCAACTTCCAGACTTTAGAATTGTTCCTAGAAAAGGACTTAAGTATAAAGACCAATTCTCTGAATTTGTCAATAACAAAAGGCTCTTTTCCATCTAGATGAGTCTGTTAGATCTAATCATGCAGAAACTATTATAATCATGCTCAGAAAATCATTTCGAATTCTCCTAAAAATGTTTTTATCCTTTGTGGAAAAACCCTGAATTTTATGTTCGGCTCCCCTTCAAGAAAAATGA